AAACCCTTTGCGACGTACCCTCGTGCCCTGCAGGTTCGAGTTTTGTTTTCTTTTCTGTCTGTAACCGCAACTCAAGCAAGCTTTCCAGCCTACACCACTGCCATCTCGGTGTAAGTAAACAATCTTTTAAACTACCGATACGCGTTTGTGCCTAATTCCAGCTCGACGGCCTTCCCTCTCCGACCCGGCGTGCCCGGGCTGCTGGCCACAGCCTGCGTGCAGCACGGAAAAGGGCTCGGGTTGCTCCCGGCCCGCACATTTACGTACTGTAAGCTACATGAAAGTAGAAGCATTCATAGGGTCTGGCTCAGTGGTTCTCAGCCTTTTTTGGACTTGAGACACCCCTCTTTAACTTCTGTGACCTGAGTGGCACCCAGTTTCAAAAACTTATTTACAGATTACAGTGCTTTCTTCTTTCCTTCCTATACATTGATGTCAACTCATTGGAGACTAGCCCCAAATGGAGGAAGAGTCTGCTGCAGGGATCTCAGTACTTTAAAACCTCACAACAACAACAACAGGAGATAGAAAAGTGGGAGTGGCACAAACAGCAGGTCACAAACCAAATAAAAATTCCAGTGCCACCCACCCCACATGGAAACATGTGCTTGAGCTGCAGTAGGGGCTGCTGATCCAGGACAGGCCTCATCAGCCATCTTTGGACACACACAAAAGACAATCATGGAAGACAACCATCCTTGCTTGTGGGGGACTGCTGAAGAAGTTTAGCTACTTATCTGCCAACACCTTACTGATCTCCTTAAACCTCACAGCAGCCTTCAAAAGCCCCGCATCCCTGGGGTGCCCCAGCACCCTGGTTGAGAATCACTGGTTTAGCTGTTAAGTGCACAGGCAGCTGGATATAAAAGGGCTGACACCCTATTCACTGCCTGGTAACAGCTGCTGACAGGTTATCTGAACCATTTCAAGCCACTCTCCCCTCTAACACAGCACTCAAGATTCACACATTGCTGTTCCCACTGGAACTCGCTTCCCCACCATGGCCCAGCATGTTCTTTTCTAGTCTTTGTCCTCCCCATACACAGCACCGCAACTTACCTTCTTTCTCTGCATGCATCGTCTGACTAGCAGAGCTAACAGAGCTAGCAGAGCAGAGCTGTGAAGAGGCAGATGCCAAGGTCCTAAGGCCAGACTTGGCAAAGACAGTTAAAGGAGCTGCTCTTTAACTTGCATTTTCATTCCAACTGGTAGGGAAGCAAGCAGGCAGCTGTATGTCTCAGCCCACTGGGAGGAGCAGCTGCTCCTAGCCAACAAGAAAGACACAGCTTTGCCAGCACTTACACCATTTTACAATGTGTTTACATGCTGTATTTTTTAGTGCAGTACGTATGAATATGCTTATGTAGTTTTCATGAGCAAAATGGGAGTCACAAGGTTAAATTCCCCTGGGCTGAAGTATTACTGTATAATTTCTCTAAGCACATACACAGAAAAAGATCATGTGAGTGTACAGGCCAGGGGAAAGGAAAGCTGCATGCTTGTGAGTATAAGCCAGGGAAGCCACGTGCATGAAATATCTGGCATTTGCCTGGGGGAAAGCAGTATATGCAGTGTGGTTATAAGGCAGTATATGCAGTGATGGAGCTTTAGCATTTAAGAGGGGTATAAGCAGATGTGTGATATGAATGTAAGAGGAGACGCTCAGTTTACAGCTGCTTAATGCAACTGCTCTGTGGTTCTTCTAGATAGAAAGCAAAAGTTATTAATGTATTGCAGGCCTTCCTTCTACTGGTATTTTAAATTACATGGAAACTTTGCAAAACTGAGCCCAGCCTGCTTGATTGGCGTTCACATAGCCACACACTGAGTTTAGCAGGAAACAAGACAGTCCCAGGGTAAGGACACATCTGGGGGATTTCCAGATTTCTACATCTCTTTACACACGTGATCAGAGCTCACTGTACAAACAACCCTTTTCCTGCCTTTTTTTTTAAATCAAGCCAGTAAAGAAAACAAAACAAAAATAAAGACTTGCTTCTTTTTCTCTTCCTCATTACATCACCCTCACCACACGCTTCATTACTATGATCTGTATCAAGAAGAAAGTTATCACAACCAAGTTGAGCACCCTTCCCCGTAGCCATGCTGCACGCTGTATAGAATAGTCTTTTATTCCTTCACCAAAACAGGTAGCTCTTCGACAAAGCTTCTTCAAAGCTACAGGCCTGATTAAGGCTGTTGGATCCATCCTCAAGTGAGGAAGCCTTTACGGAGAAATCAGTAACGTCAGAAAATATCACTTTTGTTTGCAGTGGCTTAAAACAGTTACACAACACTCCCTCTGCCACAGGCAACACAACATCCTAACATAACACACTTTACACAACTGGGGTTGCCCCAATACATTCTGGGAGTCCTGCAGCACGTGTACCATACATGGAGGTTATTAGTCACTTGGAATGCCACTCTTTACTGGATTCAGTTTTGACATTGTAGGAACCAGTGGACATTTTCAAAAGTCTTAAACAATCCTTTTGAGATATGGAGAATGCCTCTCTCTGATCTGGGGAGATTTCTGATTATCAGTATAGAAGGGGTCACCTGTCCCCAGTTTGTGAAGGATAAAGTTTGAGAAGACCTTCTAATTTTCTGCCCTGCAGAGTCTCCCTACCTGCACAATGCCTAATCCAGGTGCTGGACTTGCAACTGCCACTTCCAGCTAGAGCTCTTCACTCAGTTTATTTCCCTCCTGTTCACCAAACTTGCACTCCTTCTCAAAGCTGCCTGCCTCCACTTTCTTAAAACTAGCTCTTTCTATTTTCTGCTCTCCTGTAAAACAGTCTGCTGTGGAGAACAGAGAGGGGTTTGGATAAGATTTATCTTTTTTGGGGAGAGATCCAAGTAAGCCGAGACCAAATGACTTTCTTTTTTTAAATTTCACATAAGTTCATACTCTGTCTTGGTACAACCACTTCAACCAAAAATGAGAATCACGCTAATCTCGGGGGAAATGGTTTAAATCATATTTAACTCTAATTTCTATGTTACACACTGGCCCTGGAAGACGAAAAAAGTTATTTTCTAGAAGCAAAACAAAACATTGTCCACACCCCAGTCAATTCAGATACTGTTTCCTTAAAACGGCATCACTGTCACTCAATGAAAATGAAAGCTAATAAAGCAGGCATGGGCAAAATGCGGCCCACGGGACGGATGTGCCTGCCAGGCCATTCTACCGAGCCTGCAGGGGCCCTAAAAAATTTAGAAAATTAATATTTATCTCCCCTGGCCTCCTGTCATGCGGCCCTCAATGGCTTGCCAAAACTCAGTAAGCAGCCCTCTTCCCAAAATAATTGCCTGCCCCTGTAATACAGGCTGGTGTTGCAGGAGTGAAGAGTGAATTTAGCTCAGCCAGGAGCTAAGTGAAGAACTGTGAGGATGGCAGGTGATCATTGAAGGGATAGAGGACATCATAAAAAAATAGAGGTGGCGAATTCAGAGGAGAAATTCAAAAGCATGAGCATTGACATGTTCATGAAGATGGTTGCCAGCAAACTCCTGAGGAACTTAGGTACCGAGCAGCAGGGAAACAACCGTGCTTTAAGGCTGAGCAGTTTTTGTTTGAAATCACTGACTTCTTAAATATGCTTTGTTTGGATAACTGTGTGCACCAGGCAGCACAGTAACATTTTGACAAGGTCAGTTTGCATTTGTTGCATCAGCCTCTTGTTTTGTTTTGGTTTTTTTTGTTTAATTAGGCATGCTTATTCAATTTAGAGACTATGCAGGCAGCTAGAAATATGTTTCTCGTTTGTTTAGTTATTAAATGTTCATAATTCAGCAGGCCAAATGCAAAATGACAGAAAAGCAATTGCTCAGATATGTGCTGTGCTAACTCCTTTGCTGTTTCCTCATCAGCAAACAGATTTTACACTGGTGTATGCTAGCTCACAACTGGAGAAAGGGAAGACGTTCTCAGATTATCACATCAGAAACAAATGTACCAGAGTCATGATCACCCAACTACCCGGAGAAGAGGATAAAATGCCAAGTAGCATGAAGGGAACCTGCCATTTTTACACCTACAGCATGACATGCACCCAAAACTGGACTGTGGACAGTTCCTGGACAGGTAGAGTTTATCTGAGAGGAAACCAGATTGATTTTGAACATGAAGGTCCAAGTACACCAGTTGTTAGGATGATTTTTTTTCCAGGACTCTAAAATTATGTTTTCTGAATTAGATAACATTTGTAGATGTTACATCTGTGTCAGCCTCAGCAATGACTGCTTCTGTTTAATATTTGTTATATTGCACTGCACTGCTTCATAGTAGCCAACACACGGGCTCCCACTGTGCGGGGAATTCTACAACAGTCCTCACTTCAAGGGGAGAATTGTACATGTTGCACTTCCTCTTGCATACAAAAGACTTCATTCTGGCTGGAGCCACAGAAGCTTAAATATGACAACTTGTCTGTTTGTAGTTGCTGATATCCACGTAGCCTTAAAGACTCTTATTTGGTAATTTTGTTTTACTTTGCTTGTATCCCCAAAATACTGTTCTTTGAGAATAAAGAAACATACCATTGTACAGTTGCTTTTGTTAGATTTGTGTCTGTGGCAGCAATGCAAAGATAGCTGGAATAGAAGGTATTCCTGGGGATGGCTATCAAACATACTGGTTCAAGTATTGGCAAAAGCACCGAGATGTGACAGTGATGCGAATAACAGTTACTTCATGTAAGCAGGTGAGCAAGAGAGATCATAATATAGTTCAGAGGGGTAGGTCATTTACAGGTACAGGCAGCAGGAGGAAATTATTTGTGGGGGCCGACCCCTGCCCCCCTCACCCACAGGGCCCTTGCGGAGCCGACACACACTGGTGCTGTACGCCGTGGTGGCAGAGAAGCGCACAGCAGGGGTGCTGGGCATGGCATGGCACTGCGGGACAGAAGTGTTGTGGTGCTGCTGATGTCACCAGCTGCTGCAAAAGTAGTTTGGGGGGGATAAAGTCTGTTAGCCCCAGGTTCTGCCGCCTATGCTTACAGGTGAGCGATATACAGAAGAAGCGGGCACAGCCTCCAAAACTAGGTGTGAAGAGGGCCGAAACCTACGCTAAGCATAATCCCCTCCTACACATGCAGAAAAGACACAATGGGAGAGTGATTAATGTGTCTTGCTACAACTCTAGGGACTTAAGTTTGATGCCCATACTGAAGGCTGCTCTGAGTGAACCCAGGTATAAACAGGGTTCAATCAGGTTGTAAAGGATGTAAAGTCAAGAGTGGCAGGACATACAGTAGCCGCATCACTCCTTTGTGCGCCTTTCCCTGTAGCAGAAAGCCCCCTTTTCCTCTTGCCTGCAGTTGCTCTCCCCTCCTTGGATATGTTTTTCCTGGCATTACTTTTGTAGCTTATATTTTATACTCCTCACCTTTCAACTAAATGTGTTTAGTTTCAGAAGTAAGTTATACATTGTAACAATGCTAACAAGGGCAGGAGTCAAACTGCCGCTTCCCTGTATCAGGTGGGCCCCTGAAAGAGCAAGTGAATCAGTGATTGAATGCATAACACGGTAGCAGGCAGCAATTAACACCTAGGAAAGCCTCAGATCAACCAATGGAAGAAATCAATAGGAGACAATGTAGCAACCGGGAAATCTCTAAACGTCACTGTTCAAGGGCTAGAAGCCCTGGTCTGAGTTAATCAATGCCGGGGACCAACTTTTGGGATGAATATCTCCAGATCGACCACTCCCAGAGCCCTATTCCAAATTCATCAACAGACTCCCAAACCTGCATGTACATGTGGACGACCCCTGGGGCTGACAGATGCCATCCAGTAGCCACCGAGGCGGGGGAAGTCCCACGAGGGTCAACAACCCCTGGATTGGGCAACCCTGAAAACTGGGGAGTCACCAAAGTCTGCCAAGGACAGATAAAAAGCAGAGAAAAGTGACCCTCAGTGGCACCCTCTTGATCTCCAGCTTGACCAGCACCCGACCTGTCCAGCCAGAAGGACCAGCCGGCAACCCCCTTCTGGAAGATAACACCACGCTGAAAGAAGCCTCAACGGCAGACTCCAGCACCTGTGGGATAGATATACCTGACTCTTGTAGCTTGCTACTGTGTGTGTGTGGGGGGGGGGGACCAGCCCCAAGGTTTATGATTTAACTTCATTACAGTGCTTCAATCTACCTAATAAACCAGAATTTTAAGGATCCCGAGTTGGACATTTGTAGCCAACACCCCTAGCTAGAGG